GCTCAGAGGCCTGCAAGGCAGGCGGGGAACGTTGGAGTCCTCCGTCACTGAAGCAAGCAAACCTCATGTTCAGTTTAAGTTGCCTGGCTGCCGGCTGCCATCTTGGCTGGCAGTTAATTTGCATATCTCGCTGATTAGCCAATGGGAAGGGTACGGTCGTATGCCAATTACCATGTTTCTCTTTTATTAGATAGGATGAGGTTATAAACTATAGGTTGTTTATTCTTTAAAAAAAAAATCTTAACACAAACTGTCCTAAAACGTCCAATAAAATATTCTCTATCTGAAAATGGTCAAAAAGAGAATCAGAAATAAAGGATTTTCTAGAGAAAAAGAACACACTGCTGGGAATGTGGAAATACTATTGAAGAGACATTATTATTATGATTACTTGCGGTAATCATTCCTACCTGTATCTGTACTTTTCATTCCCATCCTAAATCGTATCTGCTTGCCATGAAGGACCTTGGAAAGGTGCTCAGCAGTCCAGTGTTGTGCTGGCCAATCAAAAACCATATTATAGAAAACGGCAGGTTGCTGTAAAGACATGATAATTTCTTTTGCTTTCTCTGGTGTGAAAGGTTTGACATATTCACCTAGGAAGATAAATAAATAGAGCAACAGATAAGTAACTATAGTTATAAATCTATACTAATAAAAGGGTAATATGCTAATTAGACTGGACATCTTCTGGACATCCTTCCAGACAAAGCCACAGTGGCAGGGGCTGAGGCAGAGGCGGTTAGGGCCGATCAGGCTGGCATGGGAGAGCAGTTAGGGGTAATCAGGCTGGCAGGGGAGAGCAGTTAGGAACAATCAGGCAGGCAGGCAGAGAGGTTAGGGGGTATCAGACAGGTAGGCAGAGAGGTTAGGGGTGATCAGGCCAGCAGGGGAGAGCAGTTAGAGACAATCAGGCTGGCAGGGGAGAACAGTTAGGGGTGATCAAGCCAGCAGGGGAGAGCAGTTAGAGGCAATCAGGCAGGCAGGCAGAGAGGTTAGGGGTGATCAGGCAGACAGGCAGGTGAGTGGTTAGGAGTTGTGGTCCCGGACTGCAGGAGGGATGTTCAGCAGTTGAACATTCCCTGAGGGGTCCCAGACTGGAGAGAGTGCAGGCTGGGCTGATGGACCCCCCAGCCCCTGTGCATGAATTTCATGCACCGGGCCTGTAGTATAAATATAAATATCAAACAACCATAATTCATCAATGATATTTCTTATATTAAATTTTAAATGTTAGAAAATACTTACAATTTTTAACGTCGAGATTTTTTTAACCCTACCAGACCGCTGTACCTATTTTTCGGTAATTTCCGAATCTGCCGCTATACTGTTGTACCTAATTTTCGGTACTTTGCCTAGGTTCAGGGCATCAGATCTGGTAGACTTAAAAGGCTTTCTATTTAAATTTAAAAAGATGCAATTTTTTTGAAAATATTATTTTCTAAACAGAGGATAATATAAGAAAAGCTGATATAAGCTACTCTAAAACAACCATTATTGCTGGGGTCAGCAACAATTCTACTTGCTCTATCACATATTTATGTCCCCAAAACCAACTGAATTAATAAAAATACATCAGTCAGTGGGAAAAGGGGAATTACTTTTATTGAAAGATTTTAAAAGGATAAAAAAATGTGCTAGGAAGAGTATCAGGGTTAATCCTTGACCAGTTTGGCTCAGTGGATAGAGCGTTAGCCCGTGGACTGAAAGATCGCAGGTTTGACTCTGGTCAAGGGCATGTACCTCAGTTGCAGGCCCGGTTGGGTTGTGTGTGAGAGGAAACCAATTGATGTGTCTCTCTCACATAGATGTTTCACTCTCTGTGTCCCTCTCCCTCCTTTCCACTCTCTCTAAAAATCAATGGGAAACTGTCCTTGGGTGAGGATTAACTAACTAAATAAATAAAACATTTGTAAAAATAAAAAAATAATCACTGGCTTCAACTGCATTTATAAAAAGTATAGGGGCTAAGAACTGAGTACTGCAATAAATTCCACAGAATTATATAATGCTAATTCTGGATAGGATAGTAAATATTAGTATTTGCTAAATAAAAGAATAAGTTTCTCTTTAAAGACATCTTAAACACACTGCAGACCAGTAGTTTTATTCCTAGCTTTACCCAGTAGCCAGATAAATTTCCATTGAACGAGTACAAAAACGTTTTACATAAATGTTAAAGGCACGCTTTAAAGTTAAATACCCATTGCATTTTGAAGTTATTTATTACATATGCTTACAAGCTAAGATCTTTTTAAAGTATGATACTTTGTAAAACACTGTGTAATATGAAGCAAGAATTCTCATGATCCATCCGCAATGTGTTAAGATGAAAGTGTTCTGGGAAAGGTAAAAAAATGCTTCATACTTTTGACCCCAAAAACATATATTTATGATTCTCTGAATCAGCTAAGTCGTGTATTTCAGTTACGTAATCTGTAATTACACTTAATTTAAAAAAATTTAGAAAAGCTCATAACTAATCCAAGTTCTCCCATCATCCAACTTTTTATAAACTTTCTGATAAAAGAAGAGGAATGTGGCAGGACTCATCGAGGAACTTGAGGAACTTGTCTGAATATAAGACTTACTTTTAAAGAAAGTGAAAAATTAAGTCAACTTGATTTCCTTTCTTAATCAAGGGCTAAAACTCAGAATCTTTTCCTAAATCCTTGGTGAAAGTGAGCAAGCTCTAAGCCTTCAGCAGTTGACATTTGATAACAGTGTGTCACATTCTACAAACATAGTCAGGGCTTCCAGGTGAGGAGAAAATCGGTATGGATGCTTAGAGAGGGTAAGGGCAGGTAGAAGAGCTGGAGACTACACGGAGTGAGGAAGGAGAGACTCTCTTAGGTCTAAATGCAAAAAAAGCCCCAACTCTATCTTTATTATGTTTTGAAAATATATTTTTATTTATTTCAGAGAGGAAGGGAGAGGGAGAGAGATAGAAACATCAATGATGATTCCAAATCTTAGCTATGGTAAACTGTGCTGCTATGAACATAGGGGTGCATATATTCTTTCTGATTGGTGTTTCTAGTTTCTGGGATATAGTCCTAGAAGTAGGATCACAGGATCAAATGGGAGTTTCATTTTTAGTTTTTTGAGGAAACTCCATACTGTTCTCCACAGTGGCTACACCAGTCTGCATTCCCACCAGCAGTGCAGGAGGGTTCCTTTTTCTCCGCATCCTTGCCAGCACTTGTGCTACATCTACATAATGGAATACTATGCTACTATAAAAAAGGAATTCTTATCATTTGCAACAGCATGGATGGAACTGGAGAGCATTATGCTAAGTGAAATAAGCGAGTCAGAGAAAGATAAATATCACATGATCTCACTCATTTGTGGAATATAATGAACAACATAAACCGATGAACCAAAACAGATCCAGAGACAGAAGCATCAACCAGTCAAATCTCAGAGGGAAGGTAGGGGAGGGTGGGGGTAAGAGGGAGAGATCAACCAAAGGACTTGTTTGGATGCACATAAGCCTAGCCAATGGACATAGACACCAGGGGTGTGAGGGCATGAGTGGAGGTGGGGTGGTGGGGCAATGGGGGGATCAGGACACATATGTAATACCTTAGTCAATAAAGAAAAAAAAAACTAAGTACTAATAAATACATAGTATAACATAGGTGAACCTTGAAGAAGACATTATGCTAAGTGAAAGAAGTCAGTCATAAAACACCACATATTGTCTGATTTCATTGATATGAAATGTCCAGAATAGGCAAATCCATAGAAATAGAAAGTAGGTAGTGGTTGCACAACTCTAAATATACTAAAAACCATTGAAGTATACATTTTAAATAGGTGAATTGTGTGGTATGTGAATTGTATCTCAATAAAGCTGTTACAAGAAAGAAAAAAAAAGAAACATCAATGATGAGAGAGAATCATTGATTGGCTGATTCCTGCATGCCCCATACTGTGGATTGAGATTGCAACTCTGGCAATGTGCCCTGACTAGGAATTGAACTATAACCTCCTGGTTCATAGGTTGATGCTCAAACACTGAGCCACACCAGCCAGGCCCCAACTCTATCCTTAAATGACCTTGAAGTATCCTGTTAAAGAAAAAAGGATGTTATGAGGAATAAAAAAAAATGTCTATCTTTCCTTGAGATGTTTACCACTTTTGACATGTATGATAAATGCACATTTAAGGTCTGAACTCATACTGGCCTATACATACAAATCTTCCAGGACTTGTAGGGCCAGATTCCATGTGCACGAAAATGGACAAGGTGCATTTTTATTATATTTTAAAACATTTTTAAAAAATATTTTTATTGATTTCAGAGAGGAAGGGAGAGGGAAAGCGAGAGAGAAACATCAATGATGAGAGAGAATAATTGATCAGCTGCCTCCTGCCCACCCGACACTGGGGATGGAGTCTGAAACCTGGGCATATAACCTTGACTGGAATTGAATCCAGGACCCTTCAGTCTGCAGACCGGTGCTCTATCCACTGAGCCAAACCAGCTAGGGCTGCCAGACATTTTTTGAAAGCAGCTGTCTGGAAGTTTAGGTAGCCATCAGTGGGACACCAGGCCGTGGAGATAGAATGTGGGCAGCATCAAAATAGCCAGGATGAAGGAATTGATTTCTAACATCCGTGATTCCTTTTCTTTTGAGGGCTTATTGAGAACTTTCCACTCAGACTTCTTAAATACCCACCTCAACATAACAAGGCCCTTAACAAGAAGTGGCAGTGAGGAAGGCAGAGATGGTAAAGATGGAGAAATATGCCACATAGTTCTATATGCATTAAAATAAAAATGCACATGTGATCCTCTAAGAAGGCAGATAAGGTATTTTATTACCACTACCCAAAAGAAGAAATGGAAGCTCAGATATCAAAGGGCAACACCCCGGTGGTGAACTGAAATTATAAGTCACATTCCTGATTCCAAGTCCAGTGCTCTTTTCACTGCATAATCCTGCTACTAGAGAATTAACACTGAGGGACTTACACTGGCACTAAAATCTCAGGAGAGATAATATAAGCTGAAAAGATAAATAGGTGCAGGAAAGCTTTAGATCGACTCATAGATAATAAATCCATATGTGCTGTTGGGGAGGGAGAAATGGTTTGGTTTGTGCATCGTGTATGTGTTGGGGGAGGTGTTAATACCTGTAGTAGAGGCTACTGGCTGCCTAACTTACCATTCTCTTCTTCCTTACTAGCAGAACTTTGGTCATTGGGAGTAGCTGAAAAATTACATTTCTTAGACCCCTTTGCAGATAGGAACGGCCAGAGATACATCTGGAAGTTCCAAGTCATCCTTTTTGCCCTTATCCTCCTCTCCTATCTTTGGCTTGGGAAACAGACATAATGGTTAGCCATCTTGAGAGATAAAAGAACAGCCTAGGAAATTGCAATGTCAGCTGAAAGAATGCAAAGATGTCCATCTTTGTGCCACTGAGCCACCAGCCAAATTCTACTTCCTGAATCCTTTCATAATAAAAAAATTAACTCTTATAGTCAATACACTGTTATTAGCTCATAACTGGTATAACATCTCGCCTTCTGAAGCTATGGTTTTCAAGGACAACCATATATTCTCTGTTACAAAGACAACAG